GTAAGAAGAAAATCGGATGCAATGTGAATCCAGCATTACGGGATCTTTATAAGTTCGACATTAATATAGCACTGATGCCATGTCCAAACGCGCATGCGTCAAAAGGTGACTCGCCTAACAACACTGCTCCCATCACTGTACAGCAGTGTCAGCACGTGAACATCGTAATTGCGTCTTAACTAAATTAAAATTGAATATAACTGCAGGCTTATTATCGCTGTATTTTGGAAAATAAAATTTCGCACGTGGTATCGTTGTGATATACAGTTGAAATATATGAACTATACGTTATATGATTCTACACGTATAAATGTTGATTCTATTATCATTTCTCACTGGGAGGTTAATGATTGTTTTATTTGTATTGCAATGTACTTTGTTTTTGTGGAAAAATGTATATATATATTAATATATATATCATTTCCATAAAAACAAAGTACATTGTTATTTGCAAATAAAACAATCATAACCCTAAAAATCGTAATCTAACCTAACTTATAAAAAAATAAAAACCGCTATTCAAAAAGATTTGCGTACTAGCATAATGCCAACATTTTGAAATGCAGAATGCTTGCACAGTGTGTTGAACATGATATGCTGTCACTGTGCTTACCAGATGCGGAGTCAGTTGGACATCACAGTGACAGCATACCATTGCACGCGTGCATGCATTATGTCAGCATCATGCAAATATTTTGTTATCTGGGTATAATATTATCATCTCTACTGATAAATCAAACTCGAATGATAATATTAAATTCACAATAGAAATCTAAGGAATAATTGAATAATTCCGATCGGAATCCATTTCGATTTGTTCCATAATAAGTATCCTGTGGAATTTTTGGTCATTCTTTCAAGAAAAAAAAAATCGGATTAAAAAGAAAGAAATAAGCATTTGTCGCGCGTGCGCATATTTCTAATTATGTCAGTAACGATGAATTTTGTGATCATTTTAGACGAGCGAGAACTTGAAAAGCAAGTGCGCGGACATTGAAAATCAGATTAATAATTTGATGAAGCACCAATAAATTAATTAATTTTACAAGGTGGAGTTTGTGATATGTTTTAATAAAAGAAACATTGGGCGTGTTCAAGTTGACAAAGCAGCTAACCTGCTCGCCGAGCAAATGAACATAATTGGTTATTACTTACAGATCCAACCAATCATATTCAATCGCTTGATAAGCATGCTTAGCCGCTTTGCCGTCTTGAACTCGCCCATTATGTTTGGGTTTAAGCTCTTCCTTAAAGATGCAATAAAATAATAAATTATGCTTGATTTATGCTTCGGTGTTAACCCTAAAATCCTAAAATTCAGCCAATAGGGCTGCCAATCCTAATTGGTCCTAATTGAAATCTGTATTCCATTGGCTGAATTTTAAGATTTTAAGATTAAGACCGAAGCATAAATTAGGCATGCTAATAGAAAATTTGGATTTAACGTCCACAATTATATATATAAAAAATATAGAAAGCGGAGAAATTATAATTTTTCGTGTTGAATGTTAGTTTATTATATATTTATTTATAAAACATTAAATAATATTGTTCCAAATTTGTTTGCGTTTTATAATTAATTCGTCATATAGAATTTTAATTTGAATACACACAAAACATATAATATGTATGCGCGAATCAATGAAAATGAATCAACTAATGAAAATTATTATAATTGACCCAGCTGGAAAAACCAAGATTTTTATCTAAAATGTCCAGGAATTGATCTTTGAATTGATTAGCCCGATATCCCTGGGACTATATTAAGTATATCGTGATTATAATCTCTGTTACTTTTTCAATTTGCTAGTCTTTACTAGTAGTTGAATAAATTTGAATCTCGGTTTCGAACGCCGATAAAGATCGATAGAGTCCCGCGTGTAAGGTACCACACTTTTTTTCATTTTTGTTCAAATTATCCTTGATCATCCCTCGTGACGATCCAAAGCTCAATGAGCTAAGCACACCCCTGCGGGAAGTTACGAGCGAAGAGTGTGCGCGCGACAAGCACGTCGCTCAAGCACGCTGTACGAATAGCAGTAGAAGGCGAGTTGCTGTGGTACGTGCTACGAAGAAGCCAGAGAGTGCGTCTCCTTAGAGGAGCACACAGCTGACACGGGTCAAGATGTAAGCTGTCAAGGCGCGGAGATGACGCGCTAGAGAAGAACAGTTCCAGGCTGAGAGAGGGGGGGGGGAGAGAGAGAGAGAGAGAGAGAGAGAGAGAGAGTGAGTGAGTGAGCGAGCGTGGGGGGTTGGTGAGGGGAGCAGTGGGTAGAAAAGAGAGTAAACGGACGAAAGTGAGAGCGAGAGCAAAAGAGGAAACGAAACAGAGAGAGAGAGAGAGAGAGAGAGAGAGAGAGAGAATCAGATCTGACATACCGAGTACACGACATTACACGAGGGGAAAATACAGACAGAAATGGAGTAGCTGAAAAAGGGGATCGATCGGTTGGCCAATAGCTGTGACAATGGAGGACATCGGACTAAGGTAAGAGAATACTGTATTATATTTCCGGTCTTGTCGAAACTGTCGAGAGTCGCGCGATCGGGCACTACATATGTATCAATAGGTCTGTTCTTTTTTACTGAACTTTTGCACCAGTTCATCTTTGTTCCTCTTCTTTCCTTCTAGAGAGAAAAGGAAGAAAGATGAACTAATGCAAAAGTTCAGCCAAAAAGAACAGGTCTTTATATATATATATATATATATATATGCGTGCATCGTGTGTGAGTGAGCTGAGAAGTGCGAGCGTGCGAATTGCGAGCGCGAGCGCACTCTTGCTGAGGTCGCGGTTGTAGAGAGGAAAGTAGGACGTCAGGAGTGGTCAGGAGTGGTCGTTCGTGCTCGTGTCGGGGAGGGTGGTCGCGAGCGCGAATCGCGTGTGATCGCGAGGGTGTCCCGTTTTTTCGACCTCGCCACCGCACCGCCGGAAACGTGAACGGAGAGCGAGCTTCTCTTCCAAGTTCGGAGACGAGAGCGACTCTGCGATGGCTCAACGAGGGCTTGACCTCGACGGCACGGCACACGCGTCGACGAGTACAGCGAGAAATCGGCCAAGAGGACGTGAAAACGAACGGTGGAGGTCTGCATCAGCACGCGGGTGTGTTGGCACAGGGGCTGGTGCTGGTGCTTAATGCGATAAGTTGCCAGTGATGACAATGAGACGGCATCTACACGCGTACTTCGATGAGAGCTTTTTCCAGTTAAGTGAGTGACATAATATTCGTGTGAGAAATCAAAGTGAATTTTGATGATCGAGTCGATTCGCTGTTTATTGCCACGCGATGAACGATTTTACATGTCTTTACTCTCTCTCTCTCTCTCTCTCTCTCTCTCTCTCTCTCTCTCTCTCTCTCTCTCTCTCTCTCTATCTATCTATTTTCTGTCTAATATCTATCCAATATCCATCCATCCATCCGTCCATCCATCTTGCTTGCGTGCTCCTGTATCACTGTGAGTCACTGTCATGAATAAACGCAAACATCATTTTCATTCACACTTATCCGCGGCATCTGACCAATGTTCCCAAAATTAGACTCAATGCGTATAGTGATTTCGATCGTTTTCTCCGAATGGAAAGCTTGCCTGCACTCTTCTCGCGACTCGCGATTGTAATCGAGTCTTGATCAAGGCTCGCGAAATACGATTTTTCCTGAAGAAAGTATTATTTGTGATTTGTGATTGAGATTTACATGTACTATTGAAAATCTTGCGACGCGTGATTCTTTTTCATTTTCTTTCAATCTTATATAATTTTTATAAATTAACGAGTCATCGAGCTCGGAGCGATACCTGTAAAGATATCTGCATTTTATCGATCTTTTTTCTAAAAGTTTAAATAGTTCTGTTTGAATATGAAAGTTGTATATGAAAGCAGTGTGAAAGTACACACGGGAAATAGAATTATTTATTTAGCATTAAACATATATTATGGATGGCAGAGTGATGTAACGAATTTGAGTCGCAATGAAAAAGATTTCTGATTGTGTGACGATTCTATAGTCGCTGCAACTCACATATTCGCTCGCGTATTTCTCTTCCTTCGGTTAGAGAGATGTCGCGAAGCTAACATCGAGCTACCTTGTATAATCGATCATCAACGCGACGTAGGAGAGTGATAACGCGTGTAACGTAAGGAGCACGGTTACACTTGTCAACGAATTGACAATTCTGACAGGCGTATTCGCGAATCTCGCGAATCTTGCGATGCGCCTAGTCTTTGCTACCGAGAGATGAAACTCATGGCAATTGCCGCAGTTTCTCCGTTATGGACATACAAGAAAGAGAGGGAGGGAGAGGGAGGGGGAGGGGAGAGAGAGAGAGAGAGAGAGAGATTATCTTTCTCTGCCTGTAGTGCTTGTCTGCCTGTACGTACAACATTGGCAAATAAAGTTGTCGAAATTATAATAGATTTGATTTCTGCGTTTATTGTTATGCGATTTTTTTCTTTTACGATCAAGTTCACTGAGCGATTATATACACGGAGAAATTGACCTTGGAATACAATTTTCCAACGCGTATATACCTACCTTAAAAACACCTTAGACACCGCATTAAATCTTATCTATTTAAATGATGCAACTATATGCAAAATAATTATAGATCAACAATCGATAACAAATGCTTTACAACTATATTACGATTATTAATTGTTCTTGGAAATTATTATTCCTCTACTAAATTTTATAACATTTTATTTCACTTCTCTCTGAAATAAAAATCATAAATGAAAGATGAAGATGGAAATTTAAGCTTGGGTGCCTTCGCGCGTGACAAACTAGATATATATTACATAAATATTTTGGAAAATGGTGATTACTGTACATACGATTAATTTGGATGTATGTACGATCTATTGTACAACTTTGTGACTTGTGTATAAAGATACATCTTTCTCCTCGAGAAGGATCATAACGAAAATCTTAACGCGTAGACTCGCGTTTGCGCTTCGAAGGCAATGCGCTATAAATAGAAGAGCCTTGTTAGCGACTGCACTACGTAGGTACGCGACCTGTACCCGCGCTACCAGATGCATCAGGTAAAACAGCTACGTCACAATCACATTATAAGATATTAGGTCTGTTCTTTTTAGCTCTTTAAGTAGCTAAAGTTCTTGCATGGTTCATCTTTCTTCCACCTCTTTTTTCTCTCCACGTTGCGTTGGAGAGAAAAAAAAACAAAAAAGATGAACCATGCAAGAAGTTGGAATTAAAAAGAACAGGCTATCATGGAAAAAGTCGGAATGGATTCCGATCGGAATTATTCAATTATTCCCTAGATTTCTATTATGTTTTTTTAGGAAAAACGGAATAATTCCGATCGGAATTCAACATGTTCCATGATAGGTACCCATGCCTGTTATTTGATCCGCGAATGATCACACGAACTGTTCTGGATTCACTCATTCAACCGCAAATCCATTCCATCATTTAATCTTAGGCTTGATTTTAAAATTTTAACTGCAAAATTTCGACAGCTACAGCAAATTAAATTATGTGTTGTTTTGTTTCTAACTTATTGTTTAAATTATTTGCTTATTACTTATTATATTATACACATATATACGAGGGTCGTCTGAAAAGTTTTGAGCTTCATCATGAAGATGGCGTTACTCGTCAAAGCCATTCTGGTATTATAATCGTAATACTTACGAAAGATATCTGTGACAATTGTGGCCACTTTGGACGTTCAGTTCTTGTTTGACAATCACTTGTGTCGTCATTTTGTAAAAATGGAAAAAATTGAATATCGTGCTATAATTAAATTCTTGCAATTGAAAGGCAATACGTCTACGCAAATTAAAGCCGAGTTGGACGCTGTTTACGGGGACTCTGCCCCATCATTTGTCACCGTGAAAAGATGGATAGCTAAATTTAAACGTGGTCGTACCAGCTTAGCTGATGATGAGCGTTCGGGATGGCCAACAACTGCGGCCACCACCGATAACATCGAAGAAATTAATCAAATGATAATGGACAATCGTCGAATTAAGATTAGGGAGATAGCAGAGGCTGTTGGCATATCAAAAGAACGTGTTTGTCATATATTGACTGAAGAATTAGGCATGCGTAAGTTAATCGCGCGTTGGGTGCCGCGCTTGCTCACTCTGGATCAAAAACGCATTCGAATGAACATTTCTAAGGCCTTGCCGGAGCGGTTTAAGCGAAACAAGTCGGATTTTTTGCGTCGATTAATAACGGTTGATGAAACTTGGGTCCACCACTTCACTCCTGAAACGAAAGAACAATCAAAACAGT